TTTTTTTTTTTTTTTTTTGGTTTCCTCTGAAATTTGTTTGTTTAAAAACAGAGATTTGAATTTTGAATTTTTCCAAAATGTTTGAATGAATTGAGCAGGTGGATTACATTCTTGGCGACAATCCAAGAGCCACGAGCTACATGGTGGGATACGGCAACAATTTCCCCCGCCGCGTCCACCACCGCGGATCCTCCATCGTCTCCTACAAAATCAGCTCCAAATTCATCGCCTGCAGAGAAGGTTACGCTACTTGGTTCAGCAAGAAATCCGGCGACCCGAACGTCCTCACCGGCGCCCTCGTAGGTGGCCCCGACGCCTACGACAACTTCGCGGATCAACGAGACAACTATGAACAAACAGAGCCCGCCACTTACAACAACGCTCCTCTTCTGGGCGTGTTAGCGAGATTCCACGGCGGGCATTCCGGCTACAATCAGCTCCTTCCAGTAGCCGTCCCGCTTCCACCGGCAGCAAAAAGAAACCCAAATCCTGGTTCTTCTTCTTCTTCTTCTTCAAGCCCGGTTGTGATTTTACAGAGGGTAACGAGCTCATGGAAGGACAAGGGAAGAATTTACTACAGATATTCCACGGTTATCACGAACAAATCGGGGAAAACCGTGAGAAATCTTGAGCTTTCGATTTCGAAGCTGTATGGGCCATTATGGGGGCTGACGAATTCTGGGAAATCGTACACTTTCCCGAAATGGGTGAATTCTCTGGGCCCTCAGAAGAGCTTGGAGTTTGTGTATATTCACTCTGCTTCTGAAGCGAATGTGTCCGTTTTGCGCTACGATTTGGGCTGAGGATGAGGAGTGGTGGGATTTGATCCAACTGTGCAGATTATAAGATTCAGTTTGGTGTTTTTGGAAGGAAAGGAAGGAACTTTACTTTTTTTTTTTTTTTTTTTTTTTTTTTTTTTACATGGTGTTTATGNGGGTATATTTGTACTTTCCTTGTAATTGAGTTAGGGTAGTAGATCTCTCTTCTTCTTCCCTTTTTTTGTGTTATTATATAATCTTTGCAACATAATTTTATGAATTATGCTTCCCATATTAAATTTTTGTTACAAATTGGGCAGTGGATTTGGCAATTGTGCAGCACTGAGTGGGTCAAGCCTACTTCGAGTTACGTTGTCTAGGGTCGGGCAACGTGAATACAAACCTCGAGTCTCAATTTCAAGAGAAGATTTTAGAAAGAAGGGGAGAGAAGATTTTAGAAAGGAGGGGAGAGAGGTTTTAGAAGGAGAGGTTTGAAAGCCAGAGAGAATTTGAAATTGGTGTTATATGGAAACATAAGCAAAAAAGACAACGGCTTACTGCATATACTATCGGGTAAGGAGAAGTTGACAACTAGTCGTGTCTCCCTATAGTACATTTTGAGACTAACTGCATATAACTATCGGGTAAGGAGAAGTTGGCAACTAGTCATGTCCTCCTATAGTACATTTTGAGGCTTACTGCATATAACTATCGGGCAGGGAGAAGTTGACAACTAGTAGTATCCCCTATAATACATTTTGAGGCATTTCATCTCTACTCGGCATAACCATGACATCACCGAAGCATCATACTCTTAAAGAAAATAAGAAAGAAATAATACAACATGAAACTGGTAAAAGAAAGCAATAAAGTAGTACAAGACAAAAGTTTCGGCATGTCACGAACGTTCGACCATGGGCGGCAACATTTTGAACAAGCATGACTGTGACACTAGGCCTCCAAGGAGCCGTAGATTGTGAGATCCTACATCCAGAGAGGGGAGTGCATGGAGTTAAAAAAAAAAAACTTTATTTTTAAATATGTTTGTAGAATATATATTTAATGGTCTCATGTTAAAAAAAAAAATTGAATTATATTTAAATTTTACCCTAATTTAATGTTAACATTAATAGGAGATTTATAATTTACAAAATTAAATTTTAATATAATGCATTTTAAGAGAATTTTAATTTAATGAAATCGAAAGTTTGTTAACAGAGATTAGAGGCAATTTTAATTTTTTTAACTTATCAATGAATAAAGCAAAAGTGAAAAAAAAAAAAAAAAATATATATATATATATATATATATATATATATTAATGGGTATAAAAATGATGAATGTCTAAACCATTTAAAAAAAAAATGAGGAAGAGTTGAATTTCCATAGAAACATGAAGCTTTACATCCTTCCCATCTTCAATCTTCTTCCTTACGCAACTGGCTTACTCCCGCTCTTGTACATATCATCGATCTCTTTCTGTTCACAAATTCGACCGTTAATTTATATTAAACCTTCACATTAAAAAACATTCGAAACATTGACAACAAACGTAAGTTAATGATATCAAGTTTTGTAGAGAGGAAAGAACCTGATAGTATTTGAGCAATTGCGGTCTCTTCTTCTTAAACGATGGAGTAAGAAGGTCACGCTCAATATCGAATAAGATGGGGTCGAGATGAACCGCTCGAATAGCTTCGTAACCTTTTAACTGCAAAAGAAAACGCTTCAACTTCAATTCATGCTTCGTTCGTTCAACTCATCTTCGTGATCACGATGACACGAGAAGAAGTAAAAAAAACGAACCTTTTTTTCTTTGGCAATCTTTGAAAGTTGTCCAAGAATATAATCTTTTGCCCTTCTATCTCCACAAAGATCAGCAAAATCCCCCTTGATTCCATTTTCTTCTGCCCAATGTTCAACTGCTTCTTTTTTTGGGTTAACAACAGCAACAAGGAAGGACTCGAAGCTACTCCCATATATCCAAATCTGAACAATCTCATTCAAATATTATCACTTTCTACATTTTAGTTAACTCTGAAAGACGTTTATACTCCGTGTCGCTAAAGTTTCGAACATGGTTTCCATATTTTTTTTGTTAATGATGAACGATTATGCTATACAAGTTACGGCGACGTTTTTGGCGTTGTAGAATAATAGTAGGAGATAGAATTCGTACCATTTCGATGTCGGAAACAAGGCCATAAATCAGCTCGAGATTTTCCACTGCAACATATTCGCCTTGAGAAAGTTTGAAGATGTTCTTCTTGCGGTCGATAATTTTCAAGCTTCCATCGGGTTGCCATTCGCCAACATCCCCTAAATACGACTCAAAGAATGTAAGGATCCGAGTGATATCGACATGCTTTTGACCGTCGAGAGATGAAAATTTCGAAAGAATAATCGGTAGTACCAGTGTGAAACCACCCATCGACCAAGACCTCTGTGGTAAGATCTTCGCGTTTATGGTATCCTGAAAACAATGTATCTCCCTTGATGCATACTTCACCCTGAGGCGTGCTAGCGAGAGCATCGTATCCCAGTTCGGGTACTGATTCGAGACAGATATCCACATTAGGCACTGGAGGGCCAACTGTTCCCAACATTGGCAACTCATTTGGTAGACTGACAAATGTTCCACCACAAGTTTCTGTCAAACCTGCAAATAAAGGCTTGTTTGGAAATTCTAAACACAACATGTTTGTTTTTGTGTAAATTAAGGTAAGGATGATAATACCATAGCCTTGTAGAACATGAGCACAAGTCACGACTCGAAAGAAAGTTTCGATATGAGCTGCAAGAGGCGCTCCGCCAGATAAAATGATCCGCACTCTTCCTCCTAATCCCTTCTTCACCTAAAAACATCCTTGCAAGAACATGAATGAGCTTTCGACGTTTTTAAGGTGGTTTTGATTGAAGTGAAGCCTTTTACCTTGTCAAACACAAGTTTATCAAAAAGTGGGGCTGCTACTTCATGTTTTTTCCCCTTCTGCATTTGGTTATATTTGCTGCAGAGATAGAACAGCATGGAAGAATTTAAAACAACAGGAACTCGAATATGAACAAGTCGAGAGTTCGATAAGAAATTTTCACTTACTACGAGTATGCAAAGTTAAACATCGATTTTTTTATCAAGCTTCCTGAAGATATCTTCTGGTTCAAAGCTAAACAACGTCATCAAACACATTGGTAAAAGTTAACATATTCGTTTAAGTTGATAGATCCGTATAAATATAATATTTTTTTTACGTGTTGGCTTAAGTATTAGCCCGAATGTCAAAACGACATTGCAGGGGTTTGAATCCACGATATCGAATTTGAAAGCAACAAATTTATACGCTCACCACCATAGATTCTTTCAAGAACACGAGGAACTGCACAGAAAATAGTTGGTTTCAACTCGCCAATGTCTTCAACTAACAATTTCACATCCTACAAAATTCATGGACATGACATGATATGAGTTCTTCAATTTATTTGCCTTTTGAAAAGGGAAAGATCAATATATGATTTCTCACCCCACGCCAGAATCCGATGGAGCCACCGTTTAAAATGAACACCTCCTCGATCACCCGGTCGAAGATATGAGCAAGCGGAAGATAAGATATGTAAACATCGTTTTCTTGAACCTATAACAAGAACGATGAACACGTACGCATCTCATTTGAATCAACAAGCTTGAAAAATGAGTTATGAAGGGGAAGAACTGAGATCACCTCTACATTTAAAGATGTAAGCAAATGTTTGACGCCGGCTATAAGTGCTATAATGGCATTATTGGATAACAGTACTCCCTTGGGATCACCGGTTGTTCCACTGGTGTACATGATAGTGCAGATATCACTTTTCTCTTTCACTGGGAGTTCATATTGTTGGCTATCTCCCTGTTTCAAGTGGTAAAAACAGCATTCTGAAAGGAGAAAGCGGTTTGATATTCACTTTCGTTCACAATAAGAGCCCGAGCCTACTGCTAGTAGATATAGTCCATGAGATCCCACATCGGTTGGAGAAGGGAACGAAGCTTCTTTATAAGGGTGTGGAAACTTCTCCCTACCAGATGCATTTTAAAACCTTGAAGGGAAGCCCAGAAGGGAAAAGCCCGAAGAGAACAATATTTGATAGTGGTGGGGTTGGGCTGTTACAAATGGTATCAGAGTCAGACACCGGGGCGATATGTCAGCAAGGATGCTGGGCCCCGAAGGGGGTGAATTGTGAGATCCCATATCGGTTGAAAAGAGGAACAAAACATCCTTTATAAGGTTGTGGAAACCTCTCCCTAGCAGACGCGTTTTAAAACCTTGAGGGAAAGCCCGGAATGGAAAGCCTAAAGAAGACAATTTCTGCTAGCAGTGAGCTTGGACTATTACAAAAATGGTATAAATTGTCACCCCATATTTGTTCACAGGCTAGATTTGTATAGCTTGGAGTTGTGAAACCGAGTCGAAGTTCAGCGGTAGATGTCTAAATCTTTCCAAGACTACGTAGTTATTTTTACAAATCGAACACAGACGTACATATACTTATAAAACTCACCTTTTGCAGAAACTCTTCCCAAGAATATATTTCCAACCCGAACTTGTCGACTTCTTCCTTATGATCATTCGAAACGTTACCAAAGCTCACAATTGCTGCATAGCAAAAATAAATGTTATAAATTGAAGAAAATGAAGAAAATGAATAAAAGCTTACTTTTAAGAGTCTTTGCTGTGTTGGGGAGTGTTTTCAACAGCTGAATAAGAGAGAGAGTTGAAAGTAAATATGAGAAACATTTTAGTTGAAGCTATATGGCTCGTAATTAGTTGCAAAAATGATGGCTATGAACCTCACAGATCTTCTTCTCTTCTACAAAAGCAATGGAAATCTCTGCATGACAGATTATAAATTCTATGGCACCAGCACCTGAAACATATTACAACAAGTTTGAATCCGAAACGGCTTTCATATTGTATAGGAAACGGAGCAGGATAATAGAGAAAACGCTCAGAGAAGAATCATTCGTTATTTTGAGCTCCAAATACTATTTCAAACCTTATAAATGTTCGCATTCCATTTTGATCTCTAAACTTTTAAACCTTCTAAATTTTCATAAGGAACTGTAACAACCCGAGCTCATCGTTAGGAGATATTGTTCGCTTTAGCCCGTTACGTATCACCTTAGCCTCACGGTTTTAAAACATGTCTACTAGGGAGAGGTTTCCACCCCCTTACAAGAAATGTTTTGTTCCCTCTCTCTCCAACCAATGTGAGATCTCACAATCCACCCTCCTTGGGGGCCCAACGTCCTCGTTGGCACACCGCCCGATGTTCTAGCTCTAATACCATTTGTAACAACCCAACCCAACCCATTTGTAACGACAGCAAAGTTCATGAACGAAAATGAAACGTATATAAAGTTTAATACCAAAAATCACATTTGAAGCATGTCTTTTACCTAAAGTATCATATAAAGGAACACAATAAAGCCCATGAGCATTGCAAGCCTGTAAAAAAAAAAAAAACAACACCAAATAGCCTCTTAGATATCTGCATACTGCTAGCAAACAGGAAACAATGAACTAATTACCTCCATGCTAATGATCCACTCAGAGCAATTAGCACCATAAATCCCACATTTTTCTCCCTGTAAACTCACCACAACATATAATAAACGTTAACTCCGAACCACGCAGAGCATTGTACGAGCATAAACGTCTTCAAAAACTTACTGGTCCGTAACCCATGCTGCGAATTGCATTCCCAATTTTCAACACCAAGTCATAGACTTCTTTGTAAGTTAGCCACTGATATTCACCAGCATTAGCCTACAGATCAACAGCAACCACCATTACTCTTTACCCTCTTGAGTTCAATGCCATGGCTACTCATTTATCAGTAACTTACTACATTGCCTTCAACTATTTTTCGACGTCCAAGCATCCGATTTCCAGGATTTTTCTCCACAGACATTCTGAATCAAGCATTATGAACACAAGTGTTTAGAGAACATTTAAAAAGTTTCTAAATCCAAGCTTATTAAAGCCATGAAGTGTTCACATTTTGCTCAAGAACCCTTAAATGAATCTATAATTTCTCCTATTAGGGATCGAAAAAGATTCAACAAAACAGATTTCACAGATTTTGCTTCATGGGGTTTCTCATCCATAAAACAACAGATTAACAAATAAAAGATAAATTGTTATCATACCGAAATATATCCCAGCAGGTATCCAAGCCTTCAACCGGAGGCGGAAACCCATCTTTGGCAAAGATGCTCCGGTAAACCGCCCCCACCGATGGGCGGTCCTCGGCGGCTTCCTTGGCCTCCTCCATCTGAATCACATACTTCATCTGCATTGTTCTTCTTGTTCTTCTTCTGAAACTTCAAGAAATTTCAAGAAATTCCCAAAACCTGAGAACTTTATTTAGGGTTGAAATCTGGAGACGACGTGGGCGCAATGTTACTGATATTGAACTGGAAATCAATGGTAAGTCCGTTTACTTTCATGTATGGGATCGCCCAGATTTCATGAGTGAAGAATTTTGACTTTTGAAAACCAATATTTATTTGTAATTTTCTTGTTTTGGTTTTTGTTCCATAAGAATTGTCCAAATTAAGAATGAGGGGGCTGTCGAGTTGTTTGGGTATGGCTTCGTGAAAATGAGAACTTTTCTCCACCGTACGATTGGTTTTGACTTTGTACGATCGTATCACGAGATCATTTAAATAAAATAAAATAAAAAAAAGTCAAATTGGATTAAAATGGAGATTATGTTAATTATCGTTATTAAAGTATGACCCATTTAATTATTTAATTCCATGGTTATATTATTTAATTTATATTATAAAAAAAAACAAATTCCTCAATTGTAACCTTCTGATATGATATAGTTCAATATTATAACTAAAGACTACGACAATTTATTACTCTAAATATATATATATATATAATATGATAGATTTAAAAAAAACACTAAAAATTATTAATTTAAAGAAAATATACATAAAAAAAAATACTATCAAAACATTTTACTTACATTGAAACAAATTTATTTATACATTAATAAACGTGGAGGACACTAAAATAGTATGGTGTTTTGCCTCTCATACCTAAGACACTGATGTGCCTAAAGTGATTTAGAATTCGGATTAAGATATGTTACATTTTTTTTTATGGGAGTGGGCCACTAATATTTATAATGCTATGTTACTCTGACCATAATGTGGAATTGCACGTAAGGTCTTTTCCTTCTTAGAAGTGGACGTACGCCATGATTCGGCTTCAAACCTTGGGAGAGTGCTAATACTTCTATCGATAATCTTAACCTCTCGAGCCTCTAGATTTCTTCAAGGGTTGCACTTCGTGGCCTGATAACTAAACTTACATATAACAATTATAATATTTTTTCATCATATTTTAAAAATTGTTATAAAAAACATTAGTTATGTCAGGAACGAGACTGCCTTTAAGATCAAAAATGCTTTTTTTTTTTTGTTTAAACTCTTAAAAATCTAACAATAATCATTATCTTTATTTACCGATTATTATCTTTATTTACAGTTTTGTTGTCATCGTTGTGATCCTTTTGAAACCTAATATAATAAATCAGATAGATAATCCTCTTAAATTTGACGATAAGTGAGGTGCATTTTTTTCTTTTTTCTTTTTTTAATAAAAAAAAAATTCTATATTTAGGATTTAAAACTTTGAACGAAACGAATATTTAAACAACTGTCAATTTGAATTTAATTTCACATTCAAACGTTCTATTTTCTAAAAAAAAAAGAAAAAAAAAATTAAATAAAGAGGTTTTTGTTTTTGTTTTTGTAGCCTCGATCTCCAACACCTCACCCTTTTATCGTATTTCGACGAATAAAGATTCAATTTCAGAGTCGCTTTATCTCTTTTCGTTGAGCCCTAGAGCCACAGATCGAACCCTTATTTTCATCGACCAGTCCCTCTCGCAAATCGCTTACGCCAACTCCTAATCTCGAATTCCATTCTTCAATCGCCAATCGGAATTCCGTCGGAAAGGCTCTGCTCAGATCGCATGGAAAATACCAACAACAACGTCCTTAGTATCCTTTCACGGGAGAAGCTGGACCAGGTTGCGGCCTGGGTGGCGGCCACCATGTCTTCCGCGTTTTTCTCCTCCTTAGAACGATTTTCCTGTGTCAACATTGCCACCAATGATCCTGACGATGACGACGACGACGACAACCAGTTTCTCGCGTCCGATCAGCTGCGTTCCGATCAATTTCCAAGCTCTGACCAACAAGACGGGTTTGTCGATCTTCCTGTGTGATCAATGATCCAGAATTGTAGATCTTAATTGCGTAATTGTGTTTTTTTTTCTTTTTTTCTTTTTTTCTTGTTCATTTTTTCCGTTATTGCTGGTGTTATGTTGGATTTCTTCCTTGTATGCGTTTATGATATGCAATGGTGATATGATATTCTTCTGCGCTGCTCTAAATGACGGATTGTTTTGATTTCGATAATGCAATCATCCTAAAATTCGAGATTGATTTGTTTATTTCATTCGTTTGGATATTGTGAATATTATATGCACGATTCACTGCAACATTGCGCTAACGAATGTTATTGAATCCTTTAGTTGGGTTTGTACTGTTCCCGAATTTTTAATTCTCTATCTAAGAATGAAGCAATGTGAGATTGATGCTTTTTTACTGGGAACAAAACTAAGGAATTTGGGAGCCCCCCTGAGCATAGCTCACAATTACTTGTAGCTTTATACGTTTCCTGAAGTTCAGATGTTGGAATCTCCATCTTAATTGTGTTTTCCTGTGCAGTTAGAGTCTATTTGTTCTGGCTGATATGTATTGTGGATGCTGGACCTGATCTATGTTTTTAATCTGTTTCAAAACATGAGTCAATATATATGAGCATTGATTTGAATTGCTTCGATTGGTTATCATACCTTCCATGTGTTCTGCCCAACAAAACTATTAGACCACAAGTCTACGAAGAACTGGGCTATCAGTAATTCTTACAAAGTCATATAAACATCATCACATCACATCCATCAAACGATAAGAACGGATACAGTTCTTGTAAAACCTCTTTCAATTCTGTTCTGAATATTAGCCTCCTCGTTGCCCTTGAATGATCATTTCAATCACTTTTCCAAACCTTAGATCAATTCTATTTGCTTCTGAGTCCCTCTCTTTGCTCAATAGTTTCTTAGAACACTTATCTTTATCTGATTATATTAAGAAGGGATATCCGATTTCTTCTGCCCCCATGATTAGAAATTGAAATTAACTTCAATTGCAAAGCTTACCTTTGGTGGATGAAAGAAAACTGAGCTTACAATACAAGAAAGAAAGAAGATGTTTAGTTTTTGTGACTTATACCAAGTGTTTTGAGTTTGAGTTTGAGGCTCTATCTTTTACCCATGTTGGACTTTTTTTTCTCTGAATTTGGAAGTCTTGAGGTTGAGTTATGAGCTTTTCTAGCCAAGATTTTGACCGGATACAAAATCACTAGTGCTCGATCTAGTAGTATTTTCATGAAGATTCTATCTATCATTGTAGGATTCCTATTGAAGATCATTGCAGTTCCTTTTTAGACGGTTGTAGGACAAACGTTTATAGGTGGTAGGGTAGGGTAGGTGGTAACCTACCGCTCAAATTGTGGCCAATCTTCCTAACTGCTCGCCGGAAGTGCATCATTTTTTTTTTTTTTCTTTAGGCTCAACATTATTTTTATGAATACTTCAGAACGAGTCATCCTTATCATTCACATATGTTTGATCCCTTCCTTTATCATCAGAGTTCTCTTTACTAAACCCAAGATCAGCCTTTTGCACAAGAGTACGTGTTAATAACTAAACTTTCCATTTATTGATGAGATTATCATGTCCACCTCCCTCCCCAACTAAATGGAACATATTTTCTTTCCTTTGTTTTGGGCTTCATGTTGCTCCCAATGTAGTGGGCCCAATACCGAATCAAATTGTTGGCCATGGCCCATAATCTTTGTCTATTCTGTTTAGTGGGCCTAATGGTCCAAAACCTATTCAGTAAGCCATCCCAATTGAAAGAAAAATAAAAGCCTTTCATGTTGATAAATTCAGATCTACCCTTTGATTATAAAGTTGGTAATGTGGATTATTCAACTACCAAAAATCATATTTGGGTTCATTGAAATAAGTCTTCAAAGTCCAAAATATGTAGTAAGTTTGATGAGTATTTGGGAAGGGAGTTGGATGTAATTTTGTGACACCCGTGTAAAGGAGGGTACATAAATGAATGATGATTGGATGATTAAGAAATGCCCAAAGGAAAAGAAAGTTACTACTTATATTAACCGCCTTTTTTCTTTTTTTTTTTTCTTTTTTTTTTTTTATAATTTTTTTATTTGTTTATATTTTTTATATTATATATATATATATTTTGGGCTATTACATATCGTATCACAAAACATATCATTTCATATCATGTATCGTATCATCAAACATGTTATTTCATAGTCATATCATATTATAAACACATCACACATATTAAACATATGACATGTATAGAGCCACTAGGTGCGTGTCATCATACATAATACAAACTTCTGACCATTTCGATAGTAATGTCACTTATTTTATTNAAGCATGCTTTATTTTAAATAATTTCTATGTTGGTGATTTCCTAATAATTTTCCTAGATTAAGGACAAAACATATTTGGCTTGGGTTGTCTCTGAGGAGTAGATAACATATATTAAATAAGTCCTTAAATTCTTTAAAAAAAAAATGCAAGTCTTTAAATTTTTTATTATGTCTAATAAATTTCTTAATCTTGTAATTAAAAAATTATTCCACAAAAAAAAAAATGTTTAATTGAAATATAATTGAACGTAGAATAAAAGATTTGTAGCACCATCATCTTTGTAGATGTTGTTTCACACGTGGACTGCTTTCTCTACGTTATGTTATAATTTAAGTGATCTTGTAATGGACCTATTTTTTAATTATTTTAATAACTTGGCGTGTTGGTCATAACTTGTAATATCCTTTTTCTATTAAATTGTTTGACCCTACAATTTCTTCCCCAAATGAAAGAGGATAACCTTTGTTTTTAACAATATGCATTGAATAAGCTTATCAAACCAACCTTTATTAAATTACAACAAAACTTTCCCATAATTTTATTTTTATATACAATTTCTTTATTCTGTTTATTTTTATATTAACCCTTCTCTCCGTATATATATTAATTATTTGTCTATTATATTATAATCGGTAGATCTATTCATTTCTTTGACCTTTAGAAATAGTTAAATTACGTCTGCATTTGCATACCTAACATTAGATGTTCTAACGTGTAATTTAATTTTTATATATATATGTTTGCTTTTTTTCCTTTTTATATACGAAATAAAAAAATATTTATAACTATAACAACATTGACCTATCAAATATAAATATAATGATATATTTTAAATAATTTTGAAATCAAAAGAATGTCGACGTGGAAGGGATATTTGAACTTCCATCTTGGATCACATTATTTAATAATAAATCTAGCGTGATACCAAATGGAGGGGACCCACCAATTCGTGCTTGGTTACCTTTAGC